AAAAAAAAAAAAAAAAAAAAAAAAAAAAAGTCAAGAAAATTGATAGTTGCCAATACACTTTGCCCAATGAAGAAAACAGATGCAAAAAAAACATGTACATAATATTCTATTTCTGTGAGTGGCAAAATAGTACATAGCCATTTTCTTATGATGTGTACTGCATGATTTTATTTCAGAATTCACAACTACTATCATTTCACTTCAGGGAGATGAAAATGACTGGAAATTAAGTAGGAACTTTTCTTTCCTTTTGTTTTCATTTTTAAAACATGTGACTGCACCCATTTAAAAGACAAGTCCAAAGTAAACTAGCTTTCCCACATTTCTCAAAAATCATCATCCATTCTTTTTTAACCATTTTAAGCAGAAGTTTGTGTCCTGTGCTTGTCTTATTTCACTGTATTATGATGATGCAGGGGAATTAGCTCCTTATTACCATATAATATTTGTTACAGCGCTTAATCCACTCAACAATCCTAAAGAAGCCTATTTTGTCATTTTACAGAGAGAAAGTGGTCAAAGAACAGCTGGTGTGGACCCTGCTTTCCCACACCCTGACCCCTCCTGAGATGAAGCCTGTTGAGGAGATGTGTTTCCCTACCTCTGGTGATAGTGGCTCTGTCAGCAGCTAGCAGCCCTGGCTATATGTGAATCACCAGAGGGAAAGGGGGTTTACAACATGCCAGTAACAGTAAGATTCAAATTCCAACACATGACACCAACCACAGAATTTGGATTCAAAGTTTTAATAATAAATTGTGCCAATAGAAGCTTTTCAAAGGCAATGATATATCAATAAATAATAGTTAAACTGAGTTCCTGAGAAAGAACCTACCACATAAAAGTATGTCAGAGCGGTGTAAATAACGTGGCTATTACTATGAAATAACGAAATACTGTAAGTCACGATACAAGCACAGCAGACCTCAGAATGCCATTCATACAAATGTAAACCAGTACACAGAATGTTTTTTAGACACTGATAAACTTATAAGTGTTGTTGCCTAGATATTTAATAATGAATACGTTATGCTAAGAATTTCAAGGAAAATATGTGGAATAATATAATGAAAAATAGGATGCATCAGATCTTTTAAAAAGCAAAGAATTGAATGTTTGCTCATATAAATCACTTTAAATAGAAACCATACTAATTTGAAATAAGGAATATTTTGTGTGTTTACTATATAGTCATATATACACCTATATGTCTAGGAAAATATGTATGGCTTAATTGTTTTTATTCCAATGTCACTTTGAAGAATCTGTTTTTGTTTTTTTGTTTTTTTGTTTTTTTTTTTACACAAAAGCTAGAAAAACTTGGTATTGTTTAAACCAAGTTGAGATTTGACACTTCCAAGCACACTAAAAACAAGGCAAGAGTCCTAAGTTTATTTAATTCAGTGTGGCAACCTCTCAGCTGCCTAAGACAACAAAAGGAATAACGTCCATGTAATCTTTCAGTGTGGGCAGTCTGTCAGTAAAACATTAAGTAGTAGGGTCGTAGCTATTGAATTCCACATACCAGCTACATTGAGAATGAGAGCGCAGACTGATGAGAGAATGGACATAGGTCCATGATTAACTTAAATGTTTTGGCATAGCTGAATTAATCCCTTTTAATGTATAAAGTTTGCTGTATGACAAACATTTTACCTTTATTCCCCAATCATACACAAGACACACATACACACACATGTACGCACACACATACAAATCACTTCTCAATTACACATCTGCATTTCTCAGCAAGGGATACAATCATAGCAAAGACATCACCCACATAATATGTTATCAGCACGCTGTCTAGAATACCTCATTTAAAAACACTCGGTAAAAATGTATTCACAGGACCTGCTGTGAATGGCAAGATATGGTAATTTTATAATAGAAAAATCCTGCTCATGCAGTACAGTACTTCCCACACACCAGGCATCTGAAATTACACCCACGTCATTACTTTGCTCACACTTTGTTATAGTACTATAATATGCAAAAAACAACAAAAAAGCAGCTTTTAACATTATATCACAATTTTGAAATGTGGGAACAAATACAAAACAAAAACCATTGTGTGGATAAAATGGTCTCCGTGACATCTCAGCAGAGCATCATCTTTTTCAAACATTATTGCACAGAGATTTATCACATGTTCTTCAGTTTTTCTGTCTTCTGAATGTGAGTAAGTGCTATGGATAAGATACAAATGTAGAAAATAACAGCAGCATGATTTGTCAAAGTTAATCCCTATAATTTAGTAAGAAAAAATGGTTATCAACAAAATAAGTGCTTTCTAAACTGTACTAAATTTTTAAAAATATTGTTTTAATGCAGTGAAGGCCCCCAAAAGCCAATTCAAAGCCATGTTGATGCTCCCTGCCACCCATCAGCCAAAATCTAGAAATGAAAATCTGCTAGACTTGAGTCCTTTCTTTAAAAAAGTTTCTTGGTGAAGAGCAGACTTCCAAATGATGTACGCAGTGACCTAGCTGAAAACAAGGCTGCCCCAGGCTTCCCATCAACCATGTAGGAACCAGCTGGGCACCTGCCCTGCAAAGACGTAGCTGCGGGCACATGTAGCCGCAGGCACGTAGTCATATCTACACGTACACCGGCTGGCAGCCCTCAGTTTGATCCACCAGATCGGAGCTGTCTAGATCTGAACTCTCAGAGTGTGAAGTGTCTGCTCCCGAAGGCTTTGGGCACCGGAAGGGGTAGCCGTTATCATCGAAGAACCTCCGGAAGGTGAACTCATAAAACGCATGCTCAGGGTGCTTGTTATTAGGGGAGGTGAGTGTGTCCCAGGCCTTGGCGCTACCTTCACTGGCCTCACTCAAAGGGCTCTCTTCATCCACGGGGTCAAAGTTTGAGGTGTCCATAGGGTGGCTGATGGTGGGGACGTAGGGGGCTGGCTGCTTCCGGATGTCACTGGAGAAGTCAATGGTGCTGAAGAATGGGTGGGCCTTCAGGTCATCGGCTCCATCCCTCCCCAGGCGGCAGTCAGCAGAGCAGCACAGTTTGGTGATGAGGTCCCTGGCCTCAGGGCTCAGCTTCACTTGGGCTGGAATGTGGAGCGTACTCTCCCAGTTTATCACCTGCAGACAATAGAACCAAGGTTTCAGCTTCTCTTCGTGACTAGGCCGAGGTGGGATGGTTCTCAGACTGCACACAATGAAGTGACAAGGGGCAGTTAGATGAAGGCACAGAAAGAATAGCTGCTGATCTGAGACCCTCTAAAAAGTCAGTGAGGTTTTAGGAGGCAGCTTCCAGCACAAGGAACAGCATGATGAAATCAAATGTAGATAAAATGATATTAATTTCCTATCAGAAATGCTATTTAGCCAGTTTTGTACTTTCCAGAAAAATGAAGTGACTGATGCAGAAATCATTTTTTTTAGCTATGGCGATGGATTTCCGTTGAGTCATCACAGCACTCATTCAAAACTTATTTCAGCCAAGAGATGTTCAATGGGGGTTTTGTAGGGAAAAAAAAGGTAACCTCACATAGGAGGAGAATCAAGGTGAATCCTGTTTGTGATGCTCAACCAAACAAACCAGCCATCTGGATGTTCATTAAATACATTTGTCACACAGCTGTGTCCACTATGAAGAGAAAAACTAAGACACAGCTGCACGGTTCACACTCAGCACCAGCTGAATCAAGACCAGCATTCACTGGTCACCAGTGAAGCTGACAAAGACAGTGTGGGTAAAGCATCCAAGTAGGTGTGTGCTTGCCTGGGAGGGCTGCTTTAAGCCTAGGAGTTTTTGAGTAGAACCCAAACCAGGAACTGCATAGAAAAACACAGGGTCAAATCTTGATGTTAGATTCGGCAATGATTTCTTGGATATGATACCAAAACACAGGCAATAAAAGAAAAACTTGAAGTCTGTAAAAATGAAAAACTTCATGTGCATCAAAGGATATCACTAAGTGAAAAGGCAAACCTAGGACCACAGAATGTATTTGTAAAGTACGTATTTGAAAAGGGGTTAATATCAAGGATAAAGGTCTCTTACTCAACAAATAAGATTTTTTTAAAAGGGGAAAAGGACTGGAAGAGTTGATTCCCCAAAATTATACAAATGGCCATAAGCACATGAAAATAGACTCAATACCACTAATTATTAGGGAGATACAGGTGAAAACCACAATGAGATGCCACCTCATACCTACTAGGATGGCTTCTATTAAAAAAACAAAAGAGGAAGGCGGGCGTCTGTAATCCCAGTGCTCGGGAGGCTGAGGCAGGAGGACTGCTGTGAGTTCGAGACCAGCCTGGGCTACATAGCAAGTTCCAGGTCAGTCTGAACTACACAGTGAGATCCTGTTTCAAAAACAAACAAACCAAAAAACAAAAAAAAAAGAGGAGAGGGAATTAAGTGTTGGGGAGGATGTGCATAAACTGAAATCTATATGCACTATTGGTAATAACAGTCTGGTAGTTTCTCTACAAAGTAAACACAAATGAAGTTATGATCCAGCAATTCCACATCTGGGTATACATCCAAAACAACTGAAAGCAGGAACCAACATCTGCAGAAGTATTATTTATAACAGCCAAGAAGTGGAAACAACACGGACAGCCATCAATGCATGAATGGATTTTTAAGAATGTGATGCATGAATAGAAACAACTATACTTCAGCCTTAAAGAGAAAGGCAATACTGAAACATGCTGTAACACAGACCTTAAGAATATTATGCTAAGTAAAATAAAGTAGTCACAGAAAGATTAATGATGAAGGATTCTACTTATGGAAAGAGGTCTAATTCAGAGACAGAAAGGAGAGTAGAAGTTAGAAGGGGCCGCTGGTGCGCATGGGAAGGGAAAATGAGTTCCTCTCTAGTGGGTGCCCAGTTTCTGTCTGGATGATGAAAATATCTGGAAAGAGTGGAAATAGTCACACAACATTGTGAACACTATCAATGTACTCAATGCCACTGAATCAATGTACTTCAAAATGATTCAGATAGTAAATTTCACGACATATATACCTTACCACAGAAAAAGAATTAGTGCTTCATCAACTCAATTACAATGCAGAAAATGTTACATTCCAATTGCACTGTATGTAGAGTGAAACTAAGCTTTAACCTGAAAGTTTTTCAAATTAAAAGGTTATTAATCAGGCTCTTCCACGGACTGCAGGGCCCAGGAAAACTTCCTAGCACTCTGCAGCAGTGGGTGAAGATGTCACGTCTCAATTCAGTCTTTAATAATACACTTCACAAAGCAAATGGCTCTCATTTCTAGAATGAAATTACTTTTCACTCCATAGCGAGCTGACAGATTTTATGACTTCAAATGAGTGTCAGAGATACACACAGCTAGCCTGACCACCTGGCTGATCATGTGCAAACAGTCGATATGTCACAACCAACAAGCATGGGATTTTGGTGGCAGGTGACAATCTCTGCAGCTGGCTCAGGTGGGCAGCAGCTTTGCACTGTGCCCACTGCTCCTCACTGTGAGTAGCTTTTGCCTGGAAACAAGCAGCAAATTGTCAATGGTTTAAATAAAATTTCAGGTACCCAAATATACCACACCTTGCATCCAACTTTGTGGCTTTTTACTTACCAAAAGAAAAATTCTAAAACTAGATAATAGTCATTTAAAAACACAGCATTACTTTTTAAAGTTCTACAGGTGCCATGCATGTCCTACTCAGAAGAGGAGGTCAAAAGCTAACCAACGACCATGGTGGGTATGTGAGAATGCATACTGCTCTGCAGCAAGCCCGTTTGCTTCCTGCTTACCTTCAGCTGGGTTTCTGTTGGGGTAGGAGCCAAAAAGGGTGGCTGCCCCACCAGCATCTCGAAGAGAATCACGCCAACGCTCCACCAGTCACAGAGCTGGGTGTACCCTGAAAGACAAAGCTTGCTCAATCCCAGAGCAGGCAGAATCTCTTCAAAGGTGAAGTCTAGAGATCCTGACCACAAAGACTGACTGTGACTTCTGTTAGCAGGAGCGAGGTCAATAGAAATCCATGTCCCTGCATGAGGGTGAAAGATGGGCTGGGAGGGGATCCTATGGGCCACTAACACTCATGAGGAGGGCTACCGCCACTTTTGTTTTCTTATTTTCAATCAGTAGTCTGTCATAAATAAAGGATTTTTTAAAATAAGAAAAGTTCTTTTAATTTAAAAAGAGCACTGCTATTGTTAGTAACAATACTTGTTACCAACCAGAGTGGATCACACAGACAAATTAAAATAACAGAAACCAAAAACTATAACATGCCGCAACAACAAAGGTCAGGTGAGCCCCAGGGAGGGTTCCTGGGGAGGCATCCTAAAGAAGGCAAAACATATGGGGATGTGTGGAGGAGGCCACCTGGGCAAAGATACTGGACATTCACTGTAGCCCATGCTGAGCTCTCTGTGTGGGAAGGAGCCATGTGCTCTGCAGAGAAGCCTGGGCTGGAGGTCAGGGACAACCCAAGGACCCCAGGGGGAAGGTTCCTGTGGTTTTCACCCACATGCCAGTCACGCCAGGCTAGTATCAATGTCACCCAACCCTTGCTAAGTGGGAATTGGGCTGTCAAGAGGTCAGCCCATGGGGCGACCTGTTGGACACCTCTGCTGTCCTCTACTCCCCTTGGTCCCATTCTCCACCTGGCACTGCAGGATGGCTCTGCTGTAAATGCTGTGCAGGAGAGGGCAGGACATGTGAGGCTTTCCCTGGGCATTCTCAGGTAGCATTCTCAGGCTCTGAAAGCACTACAGCTAACGCATGTTGCCGTGTGATTCAGAGACCCACCTAGAGTCACCACAGCCAACAGAGAAAACCTCCATTTGGTATAGTCCGGCTGGCTCCAAAGACTTCAAACATGCAAGTAAGGAAGAGGGTGTCCTTGTCTGGATTTATCACAGAGGACCAGATCAACAGCTCACTACTGCCATGGGCCATGCAGGGTCCCTGGGGGCTCTTGCTCATTCTGAACCACATGTCATATTTGAAACTGAACAGAGCATCCATCCAGCAGACATGCTTTTCCTTGGGACTAATGATTTTATGCCCACTAATGTCTGCAAGTCTTACTTCCCGGGAGTTTGAGGAACAGTAGATAAAACTGGGAGAAAATGGTATTTGTGTGCTTGACTTGGTGTAATTCATGGAGTTAAGCTAGCCTTGGAAAAGGTAGTTTTGTTTAGGGAGAATGAATATGGATGGACTTGTGATTCTAGTGTTGTGTTCATCATAAGACTTGGTAGAAGCCAGTTCCAAAGCCACTCTCTTATGTCCTTTGTAGAAAGCTCACGCCCTGTACATCCCAGCCAGAGAAGGAGAAGCCTGCCTCATGGTTTGTGAATTGAAGGCATTTCCAGAACAGAGACAGAGGATTGTTTGCTAGGGAGACTACATAGCTGTTTTTCTTAGACACAGAAACACAAAGGAAGTATTTAGCCTCTTGGAAAGCCAGAGCAACAGAGACTCATAGACACTCCACAGCCAGCTATGGTGAAAGCACACGGAGGGCGTACCTTTGCGCAAGAGCACCTCAGGGGCGATGTAATTCGGGGTCCCAACCAAGGAGTGTGCCAAGCATCGCTGATGCTGTTTCCGAGCTCTTTGCTCCAGAGTCTTCAGCCTGTCCCCACAGCGACAGTCAGACACGTCATCCCAGAGGTCACTGGGCTCCATGCTGTCCTGTCGGATATGGTTCCCTTCACCTGGAAATCGGGGGTGGTGAGGGAAGAAAACAAAACGAAAGCAGATTTTCAGTACTCAGCAATGTAACATCCATAGCTTAAGACAAAAGTAACTCCAACTAGCTGCTAGTATGCAAGACAACTGCTACTCCTGGGCTCTGAGACATGTGCTATGCAGCAATGGCTGGCACCATAGCAAACAGGCTGGACCGACCTTGGGAACATCATTCCTAGCTCTTCTTGGGATGGTGGTAAAAGGCTAACACTTATTTAGCAAGACACATTTTATAGTAAGCGTGGAAAACCTAAGAGGATTCAAAAAATACAAACAAAAGTGACTTCAATTCCAGAAAAAACAAAGGTTAGTGTTCAATTTAAGAAAAAAGAAAAAGAAAAAAAAACTGGGCTGTGGTATTAAAATAGCTATTTCAGTCCTAAGTAAGACAATTACCAATTGTTTTTGACCTCTCCAAATAGCACAACTACAGAAAATGGAGTTAAAATGAACAAAAGACAGATTCAGGCGAGTTCTGAGAGAAGACTCTCTGCAAGGCTCTGAGACTTTTAGTTTTTGAGCCAGAGACTTGCTACATTGCCCAGGCTAGCCCTGAACTTCTCTGGGTTCAAGCCCTCAGTCTCCTAAATAGCTGGGACTACAGGTCCATGCCACTACACTCAGATTTGAGACTCTCATTTTTTATGGCTTGTTTTACTAGCGCAGAACAATGATTTGCCACAAAGGCCTTGCAATAACCTATTGTCTGAAGTGTAATAAAACTTAATTCCACTAACTTAAAAATGAAAAATCTCACATATCATCATCTGCCTCTAGGGAAGGAAGAGTTTCAACCAAAGTATAAAATACTGGAGAGATGGATGGCTTTATAATAAGTTGGAGCCACCAGGAAAACAGTTGTCTTGTACAGTTAGGCTAAGTCCAGATGTGAAAGTGGATACAGTGTGCCTAAGACAATACCTTTCTGGTAGTACTTGGAATTGTGAGTCCATCTGAATCCAGTACAGAGGCCAAAATCTGTCAGCTTGATGTGACCGTCCAGATCTATCAAAATGTTGTCAGGCTTGATGTCTCGATGAATGAAGCCCATCTTGTGGACACTTTCAATGGCCAAAGTCAACTCTGCAATGTAGAACCGGGCCAAATGCTCAGGGAAGACCTCCATCCGGATCAGCAGGCTCATCATGTCCCCCCCAGGGATATAGTCCATCACAAAATATAGGCTGTCTTTGTCTTGAAAGGAGTAGTATAGTTTGACCACCCATTCGTTGTCTGCCTCAGCCAGGATGTCTCTCTCAGCCTTGACATGGGCCACCTGGTTCCGGTTCAGCACATCTTTCTTCCTCAGGGTCTTCATGGCATACAAGGCATGCGTGTCCACCTTACAGGCCAAGCACACTTCTCCAAAGGCACCGATTCCCAGAGTTTTGATCTTCACAAACATGGACTTGTCCATCTTGGCCCTCTTGAGCCTGTTGTAATTAGATTCCTTCTGGTACAGGATCTTCCTCATCTGCTCCTGCTCAGCCTCACAGAGTCCTGCCTGCAGCCAGAAGAAACCAAAGAAGTCACTAGAGGGATCACAGGGCTGTAAGTGACTGGGGCAAGGGATGCTCTAGACTTGATAGGACTCTGAACAGAAAGTACAGAAGGCTTTAATATCTACCATCAAGGTAATAATCATTCTTGTTTTTTCATATCCATATACTGATATAGATCAGGTACCAAAAGGTTAGACAAGATAGAGTTCATTCTCTAAGTAACTTTAGCTCTAAAAACTAGATGTCTAATAAAAAATCTACATGAAAGGGGACCACAGCATTCTGGAAGTCCAAGAGAAGTCTAATATTTAACAGAAAATAAGTCAATGAATACGAGACAAAAGGAAGTAGGAACACAAATTTGATCTGTAGAATTTGGAATGACTAGCCTGGTGTGATTTAAATTTACTGCTACATTTTAATTTGCATTTTATTAGTAATTACCTTTGTTAGCACTTTGGTGTAATTAACATGTTTAGAATATTATTTACTAGAAAGACTTTTCTTTAAAAAAAAACACACCCAATTTTGGGGCCAGAGATTTAGCTTAGTGGTTCTACCACCTACCTCACAAGCACAAGGACCAGAGTTCGATCCCCGGTACAGAAAAACAAAAAAACAAAAAAACCCCAATTTCAACTTCTAAAACCTCAACCTTTGTTTCTACTCTTTCAAAATACTTCATATTATTGGTAAGTAAATCTTGATGAAATGTGCTAAAGGTTAAAGGTACACTACAAAGACCAACCTGCTAACTTATGGCCACATTGCATACTGCTATCAGTCTGTGAGCCTGTGATAAAGGTGCATATGGTGCAAACAGAATAGGGTTGCCTCACAGTCCTTCCGATCCCCAGCAGAGTGCAGAGCCAGGGGCAGGAGGTAAGAACATACAGAGAAATTACTTTGATCTATCAAAATGTATGATAATGTGAAATAGGAAGAAAGGGTCCAAAGAGAAAGGGGAAGTGGAAGAAGTAGAGGAAAGGAAAGGAATAAATATGAGAAAAGGAAAAAAGAGAAATGGAAAAAACGGAAACAGTCTTTGTAAACAAGGGATGGAGAAGGCGGAGGGCAAGGAAATAGGGTTAAAAAAAAAAAAAAACAACAAAAAACAAGATATATCATGCAAAGGTACAACTCCCCAATTACAAATGTCGTCATATTGTATACCTAAAATGTACCAATAAACTTAAGAAGAAACAAATTACCTTGGCCATTTCCTGTTCCAGCTGCAGCCTCCGGTTGACCTTCTGCTGGTAGGTTTTGATGACATTTTCCACGTGCTGCTCCATGAAGAACTTGAAGGCATATGGGGAGTAGCTCTTGATGCGAGATTCTCTCTTCTCTTCATCTCTGTTGTTCTTGCGTACTGGCACCGGAGAGGTCTGGATCTGCTTCTTATCTTTGCCAGCCTTGTCCACCTTGCGGCTCTTGTCGCTCCGGTCGGTGGCGGGCTCGGCGGCCAGGCCCCCGCGGAGGCTCTGCTCCACGCCAGTACACAAGCTGTCGAGGTCGAACTGCTCGGACTTGCTGTGCAGCAGCAGGTGCTTTGGGTAGGGAGGCGGCGGGCACCTGTCCCGAGGATAGGCACCAGCCAGGCTGTGAGCGGGCTCATCATCCGAGGAGGTGGGGCCTTCAGCAGCGGTGGGTGCGGGCACCCAGGCAGGGTGCGAGGGCCCCACAGCAGTCTGAGGCTCGGGCCGCAGCACACGCACACTCTTTACCGGGTGCAGGATGTGCGCAGCGGTGACTGCTGTGACTGTGTTGGGTGCGGGCACCGCGGGCTCGGCCTGCGGGCCACTGAAAGAGTTGGTCCGGCTGGG